AAAAATTTGACCAGACATGTTTCCTTTTTAGAGGTAGTACGTACTGGAGTTTTCAGTAAAGCGGAGCTCGAGAGAAACTGGAATCTGGAATCTTACATTTAGTGACGAAATATTTATAAAACTGAAAGACAGACAACTAAATTTCTCTCTTGTAGAGGCAATCTACTGATTCTAGGTGCGTATTCGTCTATTTTTTTTTTTTTTTCAGATTTGCCCCTTTACTTTCCACATATGATAAACTGAAGAAGGCAGCTTGGCTAAATTTCAGAGGTCGAATTCACTCGGCGGCGCCATTTTGCAATTTCTCCCGCCCTGGGTCCGCAGTAACGGCCGGTAAATTTGTGTCCACGTTTCTTCCACAACTCTTCAGTTATACCACATGGATTCTTCTTGGATAATTGGCACTTTTGGTCTTTAGTAGACTTACATGATTCTCGATATTCTTGATTTATTCTTCTAAACATTTTTAATTCTTCATCAAAAGTGGAGCCCGCCGCGCGAACTTTCCTCCAAAATGTTTTGTTGAAATGATCATACAGAATGACATCTGCCCGATTCCAAGTTAGAATATTGTTCTCGACTTCTTTTCCAAAGTTTATCTCCTTTTTCTTAGATCTCAATTTGAAGTACACAATATCTTGGAATTCCCAGCACAGCAATCGTTTAAGTAATATCANAATTTGAGTTTGAAAAATGAAAGAATCTTTCGGGAAACTTGGTCTTATGTAATCTTTTTTGGATTTCTTGTAAGGCATCGGGTGACTTCAGGAATGTGTTGATAGTATTCTCTGGAATGTCTGTCAATTTCGAGATGCTGTAGTACAACCAGGCAGATTTAAACTGGCTAATAGGGTACCGGAGGATAGTGATGTACTTTGCCTCTGGTTTGGGGAAAATTGAGTTCACCGGTCCTTTGTTAAATCTTATATGAGAGGCGAAGATCTTTGCTTCGTCGCTTTTCACCAGACTTGAGACTTGATTTAATTCGAGAGGCGCTGGCCAGTCCATATCTGCCAGATCAGGATCCATAACAATCTTGCGATTTCTGTTGACTCCATAGCTAAGGAGAATAGAGCCAGTGGTACTAGAACCTGTCTTATGGGTTCTGAGAAAATAAATGTGGTGCATGGGTTGGCAGCTGGTGGCAGGAAATGCAGGCAGTTTCCTTGTTTCGTTGGTTTTCTTCTGCAACTTCGCAACTAGCTTTGAAGTAGATCTGTGAATGTAATTGCGAAAGCGTCTTTATCAATTTACGTGTGCAGAATTTGAAAACCTAATTACTGCACACTATTGATCAGTTATACTAAGAGTAGTCCCTCTTCACAGTCCGTCGTGCGTGAAACGAAAGAAAACTGGGATAAAAAATGGCCTCGCGAACTCCTGGGGTCGAGAAGCACGCGAGCGTCTCGCCCCCAGGATTTGAAGCGGCNTTGAGACTTGATTTAATTCGAGAGGCGCTGGCCAGTCCATATCTGCTAGGTCAGGATCCAAAACAATCTTGCAATTTCTGTTGACTCCATAGCTAAGGAAAATAGAGCCAGTAGTACTAGAACCTGTCTTATGGGTTCTGAGAAAATAAATGTGGTGCATGGGTTGGCAGCTGGTGGTAGGAAATGCAGGCAGTTCCTCTGTTTCGTTGATTTTCTTCTGCATCTCCGCAACTAGCTTTGCAGTAGATCTGTGAATGTAATTGCGAAAGCGTCGTTATCAATTTACGTGTGCAGAATTTGAAAACCTAATTACTGCACACTATTAATCAGTTATACTAAGAGTAGACCCTCTTCACCTAGTCCGTCGTGCGTGAAACGAAAGAAAACTGGGATTAAAAATGGCCTCGCGAACTTCTGGGGTCGAGAAGCACGCGAGCGTCTCGCCCCCAGGATTTGAAGCGGCCATTTTTTTTCTCCCGGTTTTCTTTAACGCCACGCACAACGGACTAAGCGAAAGAGGGACTACTCGTAGCTTGTGCACATAATTATCTTTTATTTCAGCTTGAGCGGTTTTCAACTGAATGTCGAAGAAAGCCAAAACTAATTGTTAATCCCTTTAGCCAATCACGAGGGATACAGACAATGAAAGAAAATATCCAAAATGACATTTTTATCAATCCGAATGGAAACTTGTATTGTATTTCTCACATCACGAAAGTTCGAGATGGAAAATTACTTTCGAGTTCGGAGGGAAATAAATTAAACGCGAGGGATTCAAGACCTTCC